TGATCATGGACAAAGAGTTGAACTGAACACACAGAGTTTATAGGAGACAGAGAAAGCAGATTTAGTAAGCGATAATATACTCCACAGAACATGGGAGTGGGGTAACTCTGAGCGGAGGTTGACCTCAGAGGCCAGAGGGATTCTGTTCTTATAGGGTGGATCCTTCCTGGGTAGTTTTGGTGGGCTTTCATTGCGCATGTACAAATAGTTGCATTACTTTAAAGCTATTGCGCATGTGCTCTCCCATGATTTTCCTTGACTGGCCACTGGAGAAGGGGGTTGCTCAATGTTAATTTATTATAAAGCTATTATAACGAAGCAGGGGTCATGTAGCATCTTCTGTGCAGATGCATTCATGAGTCATCATGATTCAGTGCTTTTCCAGAAAGCACGAACAACCTGTCTTAGAACAGGGTCTCTGTCCTGTATGGATGTCCTTTATCTCAGCCCTGGGGCACCTCCAGAGTTTCCTCCTTCCTGACTATCTCCTGCCTCAGAGTTATACAAATGACACAAAGAAAAAAAAAACAAAAACAAAATACCAAGACACCCAAGTGAGATGCTTGGCAGAGACAAACCACAGTCAGGGGCAGGGCTGGGAGCCAGGGGTCAGGGGCCGGGTGGCTCCTCACAGGCTCCTGGCTGACAGTCAGCTTCATCCCACCCCAAGACCCAGAGTCCAGTCAGGCAAGGAGCACTGATCCTCCAGCAGGGGCCGAACACCTCACAGCCCTGATCCCAGGCGGTCCACTGGCAGGAGGAGGAGGCCGCAGTGGCTGTGAGAGGCTGTGCCAAGACTGCAGACCCTCAGGCCCCGAGTCTGGCTGTCAGCCCTGCAGGGCTGGGAGTGGAGCCAGAAGTCAGGCCTGGAGTGTCCTCTGCTGCCAGTCCCCCACCACCACTACCTCCCTGTCACAGCCCCCCTGACTGTGTTTCCAAGGGGAGCAAATTTCTCCATCCTGAGCTGCTGGGGTCCACTTTGCCTGGTCTCAGGAAGCTGTAACCCCCCATGGCTGAGTGAGAGACCTCCGGACCAGAAACTACTAAGGAGACAAAAACATTTCCCTGGCATGAACACTGCCTGTTGTGTGCCTGGCCCCCTACGCTTGATCAGTTAGCCAATGACGGGTAAGATTTCCCATGGGGGGGAATCGCCTAAGACAGGCATGATCACGAGGAGGCCTCAGGAGAGAGACTCGGGGCTGTGGAAATGAAGGGGTGACGGACATCAACCCCTGCCCCCTCGGCTTTGTCAAAGCCTGAGTCCTTGTTCTTAGATGTGAGAAATCCAAGTCTCCTGGCTGCCTTTGTCTCCTCTGCCCGACTCAGGCCTGTGGAAATAGCAGGGCGGTGCAGTCCAGACCAGAGTCTATGGACCCCCGGAGTAATCAGGCCTGGGGCATAAAATATGCAAGATCCTGTGAGATCTGTTTGCTGGAGGATGTTATTGAATTAGAATATGAAGGCACAGGCAGGAAACCCAAACTAGCCCTTTGGGCCCTGTGGTCCTTTCAAATGATAAACCTCCAAACTTTGCCCAGAATCCCAGCGGGAGTTCTGCCAGCACCTTTGAAAGTTACCTATTCCTTTTGATCTGTTCTGCCAGACTGTAAATCCACAAGCTGAGTCTGTATTCTCAATAAAAATCTGCTTGGGTGGAAAGACGGCACACTCTCCATTAGAGAGGGTGGCCATGGTGCTCCCCAGTAGAGAGAGTGGCTGTTCCGTCCCTGTTTCCCCACAGGGTCTGGTTGTCTCTGTGTATGTTTTTCTCGTGTTTCAGAGAGCCATCCGCAGCGTTCCACGATCACTGCAGGCCGGTGGTTGCGTCACTGAGACAGGCCTGTGCAATCTTAGGTGGAGCCCAGCTGGAATGCCCGACAGCCTCAGGTGAGATTCTGACATCCGCCTGTCACCTTGGGTGCAGAGCTGGGTTTACTGCTCGGGACCACTTAGACGAGAGAGTAGTGTCCTGACGTGCCTTCACATTTCTGTCACTGGGAATCAGGGCACAAACCCCTGCCATTCTCTGTCTGTGTCCTGGTGATGCGGTCCCCACCCTATGTGGTCTGTGTGTTGTAGCTCTGAGGGACAAATTCACACGGACTACAGAAGTCCTGTGGAGAAAAAGGGATGGCATGGCTGCTCTGTAAGTGAGAGAGAGCACCCCCGACCCCTGCCTGGACAAGTTTGATTGCTTTTCTGGGCACATTACATCAAGGATGCTCCTCATTTACTATGCACAGGTTCACCTTAGGTGATTACCTTTTACAGATAACAAAGGAAAGAAGGTTGCTAGTTACTTCAAAGAGAAGAATGTTGCACATCAAGGGGAAAAGTGGTTGAACCAGTTACACTCCATACTTGGGAGGTTTAGCACAGATTTTAGGAAGTTAAAGACATGCAGTAAATGTTTGCTGGGAGGGATGTTTGCTGGGAGGGTGAGGGAGTTTTAACAAAAGCAAGCCTCATAGCAGCCTAGGTACAATGTAGGCCTGATTCCCACAGGAAAACCTATCCATGGGCGTGGGTCCTGTGTGCCAACCTCACTCCCCACTGGCCTTTCCGAGTAGGGGCTGGGCTGCGTTCCCCACGCCACGTGGAGCAGTTCCCTATTTCCTGGCTTCTCTGTCTTGGGATAAAAGGACACAAACTATGGCTTCATCCAGAGTGGGGAGGGCTTTCCAACTGTAATAAGCCCCGCTGTAGTGGCCTTCCAGTTCAAGGAAAACTGGCTTCCACCCTCCTTGCTTCCTGTCTCTGGGACTGGACGAGTGTGATGCTGGAAGTGCAGGAGCCCCTCACTACCAGGAGGACAAAACTCAGGCCCAGGAAGACAGAGCAGAAAGACAGCTGAAGGAGTGTGCCTGGTGCTGCTGCTGGGCTGCCTGGCAGCCAGGTCTCTGGGCCTGGACTGAGTGCCAGAGCCATAGTGCAGTTGTGCTCTTGATCCATCTTGCTGACATTTCTGGGCAAGTGGCTGAAGGTGTTTCTGCCTCATAGACTTGAGACCATGAAGGTAAAACATGCAGCACACGCTGCTCAGTAACCTGGAACTGATAGTTCTTCTTGGTCAGCCAAGACCCTGAGCAGAGATCTGAGAACTTGGCTGGTCTGGCTGCTGTCTGGACAAGCACTGACCACAGGGAGGCCCGCACACCATGGTGGTTGGACCATCACAGGAAAGATGCCTGTGCCCATCCCTGGTGCCACTGTGATGGGAATCTGTGGTTGGAGGCAGAGTCCCTCATCTGATCCCAGAGCAAGCGTGGCTGGATTTTGTCATGGACTCTGTCCACTTTACTGGTCTCCCCATTTGGGTCACTTCCCAGGGGTGGTTGCCCTTGCCCTGGGATAGAGGGTTGGTCAGTGTGTCTCAGTGAGTCCCAGAGGGTTCTAATGAGCCACCTGGCTAGGGCCACAGACCCAGGCGACACATGAGCCACCAGAGAACATAGTTCACAGGATGTGTGCTGGCCCCTGCTGGATATGGTGAGATGGGAGACAGGAGGGTGGCTGTTGCTGTTGCTGTCAGTGAGTGTGAGTCCAGCTGTCACTGCAGAACTCAACTCGTCACCTTGGAGGCCGTCACCTTGAGCCCTTGGGCTGTACAGGGGCACGCTCGGCAGACAGACACATGGTACTCCACCCTGGGGATCAGAGGCAGGTTGGGCTCATCCACCCAGTGCCACCCAGAGAGCAGATGAGCCCCTGAGGCACCCACCTAGAAGAACCATGCTCTCCATTAAACAATGAGCTTCTGGGCAAGGGCAAGAGGCTCAGAATCCAGCAGATGTCAGGCTGCAGTCACTTCTCGGAGCCTGCACTTCAAAACAAGGATGGTGGCTGGCAGCCACCAGTAGGTGGGCGTGGTGGGGGGTGTTGTGTAAGCACCCAGCTCCCTGCACAAGGTGGTCTGAGATTGTGTGAACTATGCAAGCAAGGCTGAAACAGGTTTCTGTTTCTGACTTAGCTTTGAGAGCCACAGACCATTTTCACAACACAGATCAGCTCGGTTGTGTGGCAGAACTGTACAAGGGCAGGGGTGACAGCATGTGCATTGGGGGACACCTTGGAGGCTGGCAGCTACACTAGGAATGTGGTTTGCTGCTGAGGGAGAGGGAACAGACCTCTCTACTCATCTTGAATCCCCAAGCCTTCTGGGAGAGCTCTAGGGTCTCTCCTGGTGGGAGTGGGGTGGTGAGCATCACGTGGCAGTCTGTGGGTTCCCCTTCCCACTGTATTTCAATGCCAGCCCCTCTGTGAGCATTACACCAGGACTCTGCCCCTCTCCCATGGCCCATGCTGAAAGCCACAGAATATTGATAGGGGACTCAAGACTTGGAAAATTTTAGCCTAAGGTAAAAAGCTGTAAGTCTAGCAAGTAATGTGTATGTTTTTTGTTTCAGAAACTACAGATAAGGCCCATCCTGGCTCCCGAGGAAAAGCAGCGGACCTTCCTGGGCACTGGCTAGAGATTACTAACTGCCTGGGGACATCCCAACCTTTGTTCCAGGAAGAAGCAGGCGACTAACTACACCTCGCCCTTCGAGACAGCTAACTGCCCAGGACAGGCATGTTGCAGCTTTGGAATCGCAAAGCCCTCACTGCACCTTGTGTGTCCTCCCCCACCCCCTTATAAAAGATCTGGCCAGAAAAGAAAGGGAAAGATGGAAGATGGTTTGTTAGGGTATGAACCCGCCATCTTCTCGGATCACAGGCCATCTGAATAAAGCGCCCATAGAAGATCCAATCGCTGTCATTGCTTATTGGGTTTGGTAGTGACAGGCAGCCTGAATGCCAGTGTCTTTTCCAGTTACAGGTTCCCCTTCCCACTGTATTCAATGCCAGCCCCTCTGCCAGCATTACACCAGGACTCTGCCCCTCTCCCATGGTCCATGCTGAAAGCCACAGAATATTGAGTTTATGGTGTTCTTTCTGGGCTGTGGTGGTGGGGGAGAAACAGGGAAGGGAAACAAAACTCAAGAAAGACACCTTCCTTTAAAAAAGCCTAAAAGGAAATAATAGTGGATATTTATTACTGAAATCCACATCGTTTATGTAGACACTCTTCTTCATAAGCCTGGCTCCTCCCCTGAGTGTGTCCTCTGGTGTCTGATGAGATGTGACTCCTGTATAAAGCCTCGCCTGCATTCGCTGCAAACATAGGGTTTCTCCCCAGAATATGTCCTCTGGTGTGTGATGAGATGTGACTTTTGTGTAAAGCCTCACCCACACTCCCTGCAAATATAGGGCTTCTCTCCCGAGTGTGTCCTCTAGTGTCTGATGAGAGCTGACTTCTGTGTAAAGGCTCGCTCACACTCCCTGCAAACTTAGGGCTTCTCCCCAGAGTGTGTCCTCTGGTGTGTGATGAGATGTGACTTCTGTGTAAAGCCTCTTCCACACTCCCTGCAAACATAGGGCTTCTCCCCTGAGTGTGTCCTCTGGTGGTTGATGAGACCTGACTTGCATGTAAAGCCTCGCTCACACTCCCTGCAAACATAGGGCTTCTCTCCCGAGTGTGTCCTCTGGTGTGTAATGAGCTGTGACTTCCGTATAAAGTCTTGCCCACACTCCCTGCAAACATAGGGCTTCTCCCCTGAGTGTGTCCTCTGGTGTCTGATGAGATCTGACTTCCAGGTAAAGGCTCGCCCGCACTCCCTGCAAACATAGGGCTTCTCTCCTGAGTGTGTCCTCTGGTGTGTGATGAGATGTGACTTCCGTGTAAGGCCTTGCCCACACTCCCTGCAAACATAGGGCTTCTCCCCAGAGTGTGTCCTCTGGTGTATGATGAGATGTGACCACTGTGTAAAGCCTCTCCCACACTCCCTGCAAACATAGGGCTTCTCCCCCGAGTGTGTCCTCTGATGTGTGATGAGATGTGACTTCTGTGTAAAGCCTCTCCCACACTCCCTGCAAATATAGGGCTTCTCCCCTGAGTGTGTCCTCTGGTGTGTGATGAGATGTGACTTGCATGTAAAACCTCGCCCACACTCCCTGCAAACACAGGGTTTCTCCCCAGAGTGTGCCCTCTGGTGTCTGATGAGACCTGACTTGTCTGTAAAGCCTCGCCCGCACTCCCTGCAAACATAGGGCTTCTCCCCTGAATGTGTCCTCTGGTGTGTGATGAGATGTGACTTCCATGTAAAGCTTTGTCCACACTCCCTGCAAACATAGGGCTTCTCTCCTGAGTGTGTCCTCTGGTGTGTAATCAGCTGTGACTTCCGTATAAAGTCTTGCCCACACTCCCTGCAAACATAGGGCTTCTCCCCTGAGTGTGTCCTCTGGTGTCTGATGAGATCTGACTTCTGTGTAAAGCCTCGCCCACATTCCCTGCAAACATAGGGCTTCTCCCCTGAGTGTGTCCTCTGGTGTGTGATGACATGTGACTTCCGTGTAAAGCCTTGCCCACACTCCCTGCAAACATAGGGCTTCTCCCCTGAGTGTGTCCTCTGGTGTATGATGAGATGTGACCGCTGTGTAAAGCCTCTCCCACACTCCCTGCAAACATAGGGCTTCTCTCCCGAGTGTGTCCTCTGGTGTGTGATGAGATGTGACTTCCGTGTAAAGCCTCGCCCGCACTCCCTGCAAACATAGAGCTTCTCCCCTGAGTGTGTCCTCTGGTGTGTGATGCGATGTGACCCATCACTGAAGCCTTGCCAACACCCTCTGTGCTCCATTGTTACAATTTTTGAAATTCCTACTTTTACAAATAACTTGCCTGTGCCCTCTGGACTCTCTTCCTGGCCTCTGCAGGGCTCTTCCTCCATCATTCTCTCATGCTCACTAGAACCCCTCATTTGTCCTTTGGAAGTTTGGAGAAAGGGCCTTAAGATTCTCCTCTGACTGACCCTTTTAAGCAAAGGTTTGGACATTTCTTTGACCTCTTGACCTTCAGCTTTATCATTCCAGCTGTGTGTATGAGTACGTTGTTGCTGCTGCTGATTCTGATCCTCTGGACAGGGGTCCTCTGCTTGGAGGTGTTTTCTTGCAGATGTTCCCGGGAGAATCTGAGAGAGATGATTGAGTTTCACGTGTTGGCTGAGGAATTTCTGAGTGGAGAAGGCCAGAGAGCAGGATGGACATGGGTGGACCTCTGGCTTTGGTTCTGCTGAAAGAGAAAGATTTGGTCAGGGATGTTCGTGAGAATGCCTGGGCTGCACAACTTGTCTCCTGGTAAGACCTGCCCCATGAATCTTTTTTTCTACAGTGACAACGCAAGCTCTATCACCCACAAAGTGTCCACTTGCAGTCTATCTTTTTATTTGTATGCAGTGCGTTTTCTTCAGAAATCTAGAAAGCCCACATCAAGGTCTTTGCTAATATTGCTCAGACTAAGGACTTTCCAGTAGCAGGAGAGGCAATTTCACTCCCTGAACTGCAGTGACCTTTCCCCTCTACAGGTGTCCTCTAAGTCATGTTAAAGAGGAAAACTAGGAATTGCTTCTCTTTCAGTTTTTCACAACTATAAAATAATATGTCTTTCCTGCCCTTGCTTGTGTGGCTCAGTGGATTGAGTGCCTGCCTGTGGAGCAAGGACTCACAGGTTCGATTCCCAGTCAGGGCACGTGCCTGGGTTGTGGGTCAGGTCCCCAGTAGGGGGGCCTGTGAGAGGCAACCACACATTGATGTTTCCTTGTCTTTCTTCCTCTTCCTCTCTAAAAGTAAATAAATAAAATCTTAGAAAGACTCATTCCTCAAGCTTCCCACCAAATATTTATGCCTCATTTCATTCAGTGTTATTCCATTTCAAATACACTGAGAAATCCCGTTTCAAAATATTTTTCCAACCACACGTCTTACACGCTTGACTCTGACTCCTGTTCCTCTCTGACCAATCCACCATGTGCTCTCACTGGGAGATGAAGTGATCTCTGAGGGCATTCCCCACTGGAGTTTCTTTTCTTTTCTTTTCTAAAAAGATTTTATTTACTTATTTTTAGAGAGGGAAGGGAGGGAGAAAGAGAGAGAGAATCATCAATGTGTGGTTGCTGGGGGCCGTGGCCTGCGACCCAGGCATGTGCCCTAACTGGGAATCGAACCTGTGACCCTTTGGTTTGCAGCCCACACTCAATCCACTGAGCTATGTCAGCCAGTGTTGGAGTTTATTTTCTAAAAATTAAGAAAGCATAATCAGAACAGAGAACACACCACTGTACAGCTGACTGCACACATGCACTCAGAAAAGTCCCCAGTGTCTCAACTCGGGTCATGGGCACTACATTTCTGGGCTGCTAAGCATCCATATGTGTTCTTATTCTGCCTGCTGAGAGAAGACCTGAGTGACCCTCAGCCAATTCCATGCCCCACCTCTTTTCTTCCCTGCACTAGCTGCTCCCTCTGCCTGGGATCCTCCACCCGCAGGTATTTTTGTAAATGTTATCTCCGGAGAGAGCCCTTCCCAGACCACGTGCTATACCGCACCTCCCCTCACACTGATCCCTAGGCACTTTTCATGGATTAGTTTTCTCCAAAGAACTAACCGCTGTGTAGTGTTCTGCACATGCAAGTACGTGTGCATGGGTTTTCCTCTGTTATTGGTCAGCTCCTCAAGAGCAGTGATTCTCATCCTCATATTAATCTGTACTGCCAGGTCCCAGGACCTGTGTGCCACAGAGTAGGATCTTGCCCGACAATTCACTGAAATAATGAACGAATGTGTCTGGCCTGAATGGTGTGGCTTGGTGGGTTGGGTGTTGTCTCACAAACTGAAAGGTTGTAAGTTCGATTTCCAGTCAGGGAACATGGCAGGGTTGTGGGCCAGTTAGGGTGTGCCTTAGATAACCGATTAATATTTCCCTTGCACATTGGTTTCTCTTTCTACATACTTTCCACTCTCTGTAAAAATAAATAAAATCTTGCTTAAAAAGATTTTATTTATATATTTGTTTCTTTTCAGAAAAGGGGAAGGGAGGGCAGGAGAGGGAGAGAAACATCAATGTGTGGTTGCCTCTCACTTGCTCCATATTGGGGACCTGGCCTGAAACCCAGGCATGTGCCCTGACTGGGAATCAAACTGGCAACCCTTTGGTTTACAGGATGGCACTCAATCCCCTCAGTCACACCAGCCAGGGCAAAAATCTTTAAAAAATAATGAATGCCTATAAACAAAAACGTTTTATATATATTTAGAAGCATGGAGGAAAATTAAGAAGAAACAGCTATAAAAGTGTCAGAAAAACTGCCTTGGTGAGAGAACTGGTTAGTGCTTGAAACCTTTTTTTTTTATTTTGCCTCTCAGTATTTCAGTACTATATGTGGTTGTGTATTTTGTTCATGAAATATTTTAAAAATAAAAATATAAAAATTTTACCTAAGAGTCAAAGACATATGAACAAATTATGAATTTCCGAAGCATCTCAGTCGAAATTTTACTGACTTTAGAGTGGATTTTACTCTACTTGGGAGTTGGATCATGAATATTTCTATGGAGAATTCTCTCTTTTCTCTCTGTTTTGAAGAACAGTGGTGCCTACCTCTCCTGGCACCAAGCTCTGTTTTCCACTTGCTGCCCCACTTGCTGCCCAGCTCCTGGCCATACTCGTCCCCGAACCAGACCAGCAGCTCACAGCCCGGCCTGATGACCCGGCAGGTTCGGTAGAAAATCTGCCCGTGGTATTGAAAGGCCACCAGGTTCTGCTCTTCATCATCCCGGGCACAGTTCACATACCTGGGATTGAGGCAGAGGAAGGGAAAGAAAACCACAGTGATGAGTTCCCACTACCTGTTACATCCATGTCCAGCTCCTCACTGATTCTTAAGACCCTCAGGCTCTGGTGTTACCTACTGCCTCTAATGCTCCCGGGAACCTTTGTTCAGTGTCTGAGCGTCCAGCAGCATGTCATGTGAATTCCTGCCTCCAAGTCCTGCTTGCAGTGCTAATGCTGCCTAAGACCATTTTCTAAAACCCAGTTCTAGACTTAACCTCCACCCTGACTGGCCATAATATCCAGTGATCTCTGGGTTCTCCAAACTCTGTATCAAGTTGTCTCACACAACAGAATCTGGTGCTTGATCTAGAGCTCTGCTTCTAAACTAGCTCACCAATTATCCAGTACTCAGCCCACGTCTGTTTTCTCTTTAGAGGCCTTTCTCCAACCCCCCTGCACTTTATTTAGAGTATCATTCACTTCCCTGCCCAAGGTTACCATAGAAAATTGCAGGTCTTTTTGTTTTAGTAAAATAAAACAGAACAGTAGTAGTTGATTCACATTCTGTTATCCCTGATAAAAGAGAACCCCTCTCAGAACAGGAGCCCATGACTGTTCCTCTGCAGGACTCAGAGCCTAGCTCTAGTTAGAAGGAAGGCCGGGATGGTTTGCTGCCCTCACAGGTTCAGGCCACCCTTGGTTAGTGGTATCTTGACACTGTGCGTTTCTTGGAAATTATAGTTAAGTGCTTTTAAAAGCAATATTTTTATGTCTGTCTGCAAGAAGTCCACCATAAGGACATGGGTTGTGTGATCTGTTTAAGTAATGTATTCCTTCATGTAAACTGGAATAAAATAAATGTTTAATTAATGCTCATTTGATAAGTTAAAGTGTAATCCAGTGTCTCTGGTGAATCTAGGCTCTTCAAGGTCCTTTCCAGTGTCCACATTGTGTCTAGCAGAGAGCTTTACACTTTGAGGACATATGCTATACTTTTTTTCCTAAATATCCCCTGAAATGAAAGAACACTATATGGAGAAAAACAGGAACAAAGAATTAAGGGAGACCACTGACGGAGGCATGATGAGAGGGAAATTTATATATGGGCTGTGGGGGATGAGAGTTCCCTCTGGCACCCAGAGACCTGTTGACCTCACCTCATCCAGTTGGCCCAGGATCTGTCCTTTCCATCCACATACTCATAGCAGTTTCTCCCTTTGGCGATCTGTGTTTCAGAAAAGAAGTTAAAGACTTTTTGTTCTTTTTGTGGGGAGGCAATAGTCAGAAGAATTATTTTACTCTACTGTCATCAAAGCTCTTCCATTGTGCATGGGGATTCAACTGCCAACTGTGACCACATGATATTGGTCTTACTCATCGTCTACACATCTGAGTCTGCCTGTCCAATCAGAGCAGGAGGCCTACAAGGGAGGAGCCACTCTTTTGTGTCTGCACCACTTTGCTCCCGCTTACCTTCTGATCCTTAAACAGGAGCTCTGTGTTCATGTAAAGTCCAGTCAGCACACAGAGCTAACCATATTGTCCCCTCTATGTCTAGCATGTAGGAGGTGAGGTCGCTCCAAGCCTCAGAAGGCATGTGGGAAGCCAGAGGACAGTGGAAGAGGCAAATAGTTCTCACCAGCCAGGAGTATCTGCTCTTGGCTGCCTCTCCATCTTCTGTGATGTGTCCTTCATAAGGGCCAAAGTGCAGACCCACTGGCAAGTCAGCTGCCTCATTCCACACTCCAAGCCCAGCCTCAGGAATGCCTGATGGCCCGATTCTCAATCCAGGGGGCAGGGTGAGGGCTGAGCGGTGGGGATGCCCCTTGTCCACTGCAGTGTCCTTTACAAATGTAGGGGGTCCATGCACAGCACAACTGTCGATGAAGAAGTTCCGACACTTCTCACAATCTGGAGGTGAGAGCAACAGGGGTTAGGGAAGGTTTAGCACATGTTCCTGGACACAAAGAGCTTCAGAGGGAGTCCATCACTGACATCATTGAGACTCAATCCTGTACTCCAGGTCACTAGAGGAAGGGAATGATTTGGGGACCAAAGGACTAGATGAAATTATTGTATCACAATATGCTTCTTAGTGAGGGTCACTTACAAAGGTAGTCATCATCCTGGGGCTCGCTGACCTCTTGGTACACATGGCCCTTTCTTTCTTGTAGGATGTACACCTCCATGTCCATCTCCTTTCTCCCGAGTTCTAAGTTAGAGAAGGCCAGGTAAGTAAGCGAGGTTGGTGTGGTGTGGAGTGTTAGTTCTCATTTTGTCAGATAACACAATCTTCTCCCATCAAATGATTACCTGTCCTTTTGTGTACTCTGGTATTTTATTCCATTAACTATTGGTTCAAAAGACTAAGACTCTAACTACAGATGACTGATTCAATTTTAGTTTCTAGATTTTCCCATTACCAGCCAATCTTTCCCATTTTAGTTGCCAGTCTTTAGTCATTCATAAAATATTTATGGAGTGCACATTATGTGTTAGGCATTGAGTAAAGGCCTGGGCACACAACACCAATAAAGTGTGGTTGCTATTATCACAGATGGATTTACTGGACAACTTGTGTCACCTGTTTTAAATTCAATTTAATGTTTTCAAACAATATATGAGTGATGTTTCCTTATGTTCACTTTACATATTAGCATTCAGGAGCTCACAGAATTTATAGGATTTTCCCAAAGGTCCATTGCTAACTTCAGTCTTCAGCTTATCCCAGCTTAAATCCAGGCCTATCCAAACTCCACCTCACATACCTAGGTCATACTTATCAGCCCTTCTATAGGACTTAGAGGAACTAAGTTTCCAAATTATTTTCTCTTACCCAATTTTTGTCTAGTGTGCTTTTCAAAGGCACATGCTTCTCCAGGAGGGGACACTGGTTTCTGGGCATGCTCTGAGTCATTTGCAGTCATCCAATTTGCTATTCCTGACAATTCCTTCAAACTATATTCCTTGCTTAATGGCACCCTGGATGTTGCCTTCAATGTAAGAGTCACATATTAAAAGATAACATGTATTTAATGTTTTAAGGCTTATTATATATCTTACATGCATGTCTTTAATACTTCAACCCTTGGAAATATCTAGGTAGTATGAATATTAGAGGGTTAGGGCCAATGTGGGTAATGAATCCAAGATTAGAACCCATGCCTTATGGCTCTTTTCTTTCAACTGTCTCTATAATATTGAGAGTGAGGGATGTGGGGAAGAGAATACAGAAATAGTTGGCAGAAACATATCTAGACAATAAATAAGATGGTGATAAAGTTTGCAATACCTTGGAAAGAATATTTGTACTTAGATTATCTGGTTCCCACCAATTGTTTGAATAAGGCTGTGGCAGTAGCTAGTTGTCTTTAGTGTCCTGATATATAACATGTCAATTTTTAATGTTATAGTGAACATGCAATTAAATAATGTTCAACAAAGTGGTCTGTGAATTGTGTAATACAGCATGAATGTTCTGCTATCAATGTACCCCTCAGCTCTCTCCATATTTCAGTCTCACAGAAATTACCTTCGGCGTTCATTAATCATCTTCTAGTTTATTTTGTAATCGTGAAATCATTCATTCAGCAAACATTTGGGGGCCCTCAGGAACCCTGATCTGGGCCTGAGACCTGTGAGAAGACTTAGGTATGGACCAGGCTCACAACACAGAGGTAGGCAGGCTGAACAAATGATTCTAAACAGGATGAGAGTGGCCTCATTAGAGCTCAGACAAAGAAGCTGTTACTTCACCCTATAAGAAAGGGCATTCGAAATCAGTTCCAGACAGATGAGTTTCTGTTGACTAGTGTGTAACCTATATGAAGCCCTTAAGTCATTTATTATTTGTTGTTTCTCAATCATCAAACCTGAGGCTCCTCATGGGTGGGAGATGCTCTTTGATTAGAGTGGGAGGCTCTGACCCTGGACATTTTACATTCTTCTTCACCTGGGGCCATCCACTGTATCAACTGCCTACACATTGTACACTTTCCTTAGTCAGAGGGTATAGTGCATCTCTCACTTCAGCATAGCAGAGAAGTTTGTTTGAAACCATTAGTCAGATGAGTGATGTAATGACATGTATAAGACAATGTAAACTTTAGAAAACTATGAATGTTTTATTTTTTAATTTAAAGATTTTGTTTATTTTTTTGAGAGAGGGGAAGGCAGGGAGAAAGAGGGAGAGAAACATCAATGTGAGAGTGTTGGGGGCCGCCCTGCCTGGTCTCAGGAAGCTGTAACCCCCCGTGACTTAAGCTGAGTGAAAGACCTCTTGACCAGGAGCCACTGAAGGAGACAAAACTTATTTCCCTGGCATGAACGGCAGTCAATGACGGGTAACCATTCTCTTGGATAGAGAATGAACCTAAGACAGACGCGTTCACGAAGGAATGACAGACACAAGACTCACGGGGCTGTGGAGATGAAGGGGGTGATCAGACATCAACCCCTGCGCCCTTTGGCTTTGTCAAAGCCTGAGTCCTTGTCCTTGGATGTGAGAAATCCAAGTCTCCTGGCTGCCTCTGTCTCCTGCCTGCAGGGGCAAAACAGCCCAGACTAGAAACGGCGGACCCCTGGGGTAATCAGGCCTGGGACATAGAATATGCAAGATCCTGTGAAGGTTTGCTGGAGGATGTTATTAACTTGGAATTTAAAAGCACAGGCAGGAAACTTTTGGAACCTGTACCTCTTTCATATGTTAAAAAACCAAACCTTGCCCGGATTCTCAGCAGGAGTACTGCCCCCACCTTTGTAAGCTGTTTACATCTTTTGATCTTTTCTGCCAGACTGTGAATCCACAAACTAAGTCTGTTTTTTCTCAATAAAAATCTGCTTGGGTATGGACACGGGGCGCTCCCCACATGAGGAGTGGCCATGGCACTCTACAGGAGAGAGGGTGGCCAAGGCGCTCCCCATGTGAGGAGTGACCACTCTGTCCCGATTCCCCCACAGGACCTGGTTGTCTCTGTGTATGTTTTTAGCATGTTTTGATGAACATCCGCAGCTGAGGTGGATACCTGCTGGATGGTATCCTCAACATGAGAGATGTTTCATTGATCAGTCACTTCTCACAAATACCCCCACTGGGAACCTGGCCCACAACCCAGGCATGCGCTCTGACCAGGAATCAAACGGGTGATCTTTTTCTTTGCAGGATGACACCCAACCAATTCACACTGGCCAGAGAAAAACTGAAAGTTTTAATGAGTTTGTAAGTGGTTTAGAGAAGAAACTATGGATTAGACTGCACAACCACTGATACTGTGATCTTAGACATATAGTCAAACATTTCTATATCTCTGAAAGATCACTTCCTCATTGTAAATGGTGACAGTTACAGTACCTTCCTCATCAGGTGGTTGTATGTGTGAGTGAGTTAATTCACATATAATTCTTAAAGCCTGAAACATTGTGAGAATGAAACAAATGGTAGTTACTATTGCTGCTGTAGTTGTTAACCATTAAGATGATGATGACCCCTGGCTGGTGTGGCTCAGTGGATTGAGCACTGGCCTGCATACTGAAAGGTCACCAGTTCCATTCCTGGTCAGGGCACATGCCTGGGCTGTGGACCAGGTCCCCCACTTGGGGGTGTGGGAGAGGTAACCTATTCATATTTCTCTCCCTTTCTTTCTCCCTCTATTCTCGTCTCTCTAGAAAATCGATAGATAAAAATCTTTAAAAAGAGATGATAATATTGGGCAATGTGTTGAAGAGACCAGGAAAGGAAGGTGGCAGTTCCTAAGATACTTCTCACATTTTCCTGCTCTTACCTGCATTTCTATCTGTGAGGAAAATTTTGTTGTCAACAGAATTTGGGAAATACTCACCTTCTGGTGTTTACTGTGTTCTCTTCTGAAGGCCACCCAAGGTTTCACTGAAAGATGACAAGAAATCAGTGTTCTGGTTGGTAAGTTTCTAGAATCTGGAGATTCTTATTAGGGACACAGAATTGTGAATGAGAGTGTGGCAGGAAAAGAAACCCCATGAAAAAGCTTCTATGCTCTGCAGCTTCTTTGATAAGCAGTGCTCTCTGCACCACCTGCAGAATTTCACAGTGCCTTTTGTTTTAACGTGACAGGACATAGCTGAGCAGTAGCTATTTTTAGGTAGGAGCTGACCAGCAGCCATTCCCAAGGCAACAGTTATCTCAAGGCCAAAGCACTAACCTTTGCTTCTGCTTCTGCATGCTTGCTCGTAGCAGTTGTTTCCCCCCTCCCTTTTTGCCTTGTAACAAGTATTTAAAGGAAACTCCAGCTTAGGCTCTTTGCTCAGAATTTGGGTAGTTAACCCCTCTGAGCCAGCACGTAATAAAAGTATGTGCCTCGCCATCTTTCCCGCGTGTGAGTTATTTTCTGTAACAAGAGTAGTCCAAGAACAATCCCAGGATGATTGGAAAATGGTTTCTGAGGTATCATTAAGGCCAATGCTTCTATTTGGGCCATCCACTAATTTCATTAGAATGATAAAAAAATAAAGTGTCATCTATGCTTCACCCTATGTTCATAAAGTATTACGTGTATTAAAAAATAAATTGGCCTCTCCTTACAAAGATGTAATAAAAGCAACTGCACACAAAACTCCACGTCTTCAACATAACCCTTTCTCCGTCCTGTTGTCTTCATTCCAACTGGCCTTGTCCCGGCTGAGGGCACCTCGACCACCTGGCCTCCTTTCTCTGGTATCCTCCCCCGCGGGCACATACCGGCCACCCATGCCCTTCCTCAGTCATTAGACTCCGGTCAGCACCCACAGTCTGCTGACCCCAGAAACAGAATTCCAGTGACAGTTGAAGATCACATCTTGACCTCAGCCGTGTGTCAACCCCAGACCCATGAAAGTGGACCGACCCCACCCTCCGAACACTCACGATACTGGACAGAACATGGGGCCGACATCAGGAAACCACACGGTGATCAACCCCTCCCGACCCTGGCCCTCCCCCACTCCCGTCATCACCAGGGTGAACACTGTCCCCGCCCGTCCGTCTCCATGCGGGCCACCGCGCGGCCAGGTGTGGGGCCCTCCTCACCGGCCAGACCCGCCTCCCTCTCTTGCGATGACGACTCTTCTGAATTAGTTACTTCTTGTTCACTTGTATGTTCTTATACACTTACTGCTTATTAATGCATCTATAAATATATATGATTATGTTGCAGAGTTGAAAGTTTACGGGAACAGCCCCTCACTGTGCGACACACTGTTGTGCCTCTTGCTTGTTCGCTGCACCAGCAAACCTGTTCCCTGGTGACGTCCTGAGATGCCGCCCGACCCACACCAGGTCCGAGTCCGGAGGGCAGCGCTGGCTCCTCCTGCCGCTCACCTTGCTGCTCGGAGTCCGTTCTTCATCGGAGTCCTCACGGTCCCCCTCCTGGAGCTCGGTGGCCCGCCTGCCTGCGGCGGTGACACAGGAAAGCCGGTCGCGCGGCCCTGAGACCCGGAAAGAGACAAGACCTTTGTCCTGAAGCAGAGAGCGTGGGGGAGGGACAAGCCCAGGAAGCCCGTGGGAGAGTCTACAGCGAGTTGCTGTGAGACCCGCACCATCGTCAGCTCCAGCCCCGCTCTGACTGAAGGAGCAAACTCCCCCCATCGGTCGGTGTCCGTGCGGGAGGGAGCTGCAGGCGGATGGAGCTCCCTGCCGGGTCTCCAGGCCCCTGGGCCCAGCGCCTGCGCACGCCCCACCTGGGCTGCTGAGCGCGTCCAAGTTCCTCTTCTCGTTTGGTACCGGCTGGACGGGCCAGGGCGAGCCCCTTGAGGGGGCGCCCTTGTTCCCGCCCCTCTCTCTGCGCGCCGGCTCAGGGCGGGCTCCGGAGGCCGCAGCCCGGGCGTCTGAGGGGCCCGTGGGCCGGGCGGGCCTGTGGCGGCGCAGGAAACGCTCTTCTCCCGGGGAAGGGCCCGGAGGCGCCCCCGGGGTCCGGAGAAGCCCGCGCGAGGCGCAGGCGCAGTGTCCGGCAGGCAGTCCGCCGTCTCTCGGGCTGAGAGGCTCGGGGTCCCTCGGGACTCGATCTGCGTCTTCCGGGCGGAGGACACTCAGCGTCCCCGGGGGGAGAGGGTCAGGCCGCCGCGGCTGGGGGAGTGGGGGCGTCTCACGAGGGGCTTCCGGGTCCCCTCCACTGAGTCGGTTTCCAGGACGACGGCATTCGGGGTCTCTGCGTTTGGGGAGATTTGGTCTTTCCGGGCGGGCGGGCTGCAGGAAGGGCGCCCCGAGCTGAGGGGAACTGGGGTTCCAGGCTGTTTGGGGGTCTGAGCGTTGGGGGTCAGGAGACGTGGGGTCCTCCGGGTTAGCGGACGCGGGCCCCTCGGTGCTGAGGGGTTTGGGGGCCCCCCTGGATGAGGGCATCTGGGGTCTCTCGGGCTGGACTTGGAAGGTCTCGGGCTGAGGGTTCCCCAGGGCAGGGCTCCCCGCTTACCGGTCCGTCTCCCGGGGCCCCTTCCGCGCTGCCCACCTCGGCCGAGTGTCCTCTCCCGGCTCCAGGGCTTCCTGCCCTGGGAAGGAGGTTCCATCCTGGACAGCCGCGTGGGCACAATCCGCCAATCAGTGCTGGGGTCCCAGGGCCCTGCCCGCCAATGGGCGGTCAGAAGAAGCTGACAGGGCGGGGCAGAGGGGCAGGGCCCCCTGGGTTTGGGACTGGCCAGCAGCAGACCCTTCCAGCCCCGCCCCGCGGGGATTGGCTACCCTGGGTCTCCCGAGCGACTGTCACGCAGCCTGCAGCTCTGTGGCTTGTTTTCCCGCAGCTGCTGAGGGGTCCGCCCCGCAGGAGCTGGGACTCCCGAGCCAGACCTTAGGGTGGACGTGGCCCTCCTGCCGCCTGACAAAGTCTTTGTTCCTCCAGACTGTGGTCGGGATCCCCAACTCACACCTAGGCCCGTCCCTGCCCCCCCCCCCACCCCGTCACCCCCTTTTCAAACCCACTTTCAGCTAGAGCTGTCTAAGCAGTGAGGACGCGGTCAAGACCGCATTGCATTCCGTGGAAACTTAAGTCAGTAAATTTTGAGCACGCAATTCATAGACACAAAATAACTCCTAGAGGGCCCAAACATTTAAACACAACAAATAGAATAATAAGTATACTGGAAAACACACTGGGAGAATTTCATGTCTCAACGAAGTGGTGTTATGATTAATGGGCGTGTTTAAGTAACTAGGGGTAAAAACATTTCAGAAATAGGAAGACGAGATAAAACCAAAGCTAAATAAATGTAGAAATGCTGGAAAAACCTACAAGTATTTTGCGTAAAAATAACATCAAATTTGAGTACAGGGGTTCACAGAGCAGGGTCAGTTTTGCTGCTACTGGCTTTCACGGAATACAGTGGGAAGAGTGTTTCTGGTCCTTACCTCGTTTTGAGCACGTAAATATAACTTGATTTCCATGGATCTGAAATGAGCCAACTAACTGTAATTATTACTGTGAAAGTGCATAAAGGGAAACTTCACTGAAGTGGAGTTGGGGGTCAGTAGGGGTGCTGTCACATAGCACCACCTGGGATCAATTACAGGAAACATTGTCTGTCACAGGCCCCAACATGAAGATGATACTGTGTGCTCCCAGGAGGAGCCGACTCCCCAACACCTCAGCCAGAGAGAAACCATCCTCACCCTGAACTGACACTTTTCTGCAATGTACTTTCATTTTAAGTGACCCCTCCCAACTTCCTCCTTTCTGCCTGTTAAATACATTTCTCTCCTTTACTTGTGGAGCTGGCCTATGATTTTTGCTACAGCTTGCTTGTCCTAAATTGCATTTTTTTTACTGTTTCTGAATAAACCCCATATCTGCTGGTAAAATAACTGAATGCTATATTTTTAACGTCAACATAATTTGGTGGCCTGTATGGGGATCCAGAGGACTCCTGACATCTCTGAGGTTGATGAGCAAGCAGGTGCAGTGTTCTTATTCTGAAAGACTAGGGAAAGGGTCCTTTGGTACAGACTTCCCAGTGATCATTTTGAGAATAGCCATCCAGAAATAACATCCTCATACCCTGTGATCCAGAAATTCCACTTTTCAAAATTTTCTCCTAGTGTCCCTGACCTGGTAGCTCAGTTGGTTAGTGTGTCCTGCTTATATGCCAAGGTGGTCAGTTCATTCTCCAGTCAGGGCACCTACAAGAAGCAACCAATGAATGAATACATAAGAGGACCAACTAAGTCTCTCTCTCTCTTTCAAAATAATACATGAAAATTATTAACAATTTCCCCCTAGTTATGCTTCCCTGTGTATGAAATGAAGTATGTTGCATGTATTTTATCCAACACATATAATAACAGATATAAAGTTTTCAGTAGAAGAGAAATTGTTAAATTATGATTTGCTCACAATGTTGAAGCAGGAGATAACATAGAAAGAACTCTGAGACTGCAATGCTGTCACTGGCCAACATTTATCAGCCTGGTTGCCAGGAAACACCTTTTACCAATTAGGTAGAATAAATAGTAAACTGAGGCAGGGAAGAGGAAGGAGACAAGTCTCACATGCTAATTCAGCAGTCCTAAGCCTGTTCTGATAATATTGCCATGTGTTTCAATATCACAAGGAACACTATATTATCAAGAAAGAAAGTCCTTGAAATTCTATGTAACATTTCCAGTATCTGGGAAAGAAAGCCTTGAAACTATGCTTTCATCCCAAGGCCTGAATGTGGGAGAGGGTCCCTGGTGACCAAAGAAAGAGCCCATAAAACAACTTTGGTTAATTGCCTACCTCTGGTCATTATCTGTTTTAAGAGGGAGTCCCTGATGCTTACAGAAAGAGTCCATAAATAACCTTGGAAAGTGCCCCAATTTTAATTAACTGCCTCCTGTCACATATTTGTTTTACAACAAGATGAAAAAATAGGGTCTGAAGCAAGATAAGAATTGGGGCTAACAGACCCCCACACATACCTAAGTGTGGGTAGTCACATTCCCCCAGGAAAGCTGGCACTGCATTTACCTGTTAATCAATTTGTAACTTTTTTTCCTCCCATCCCACCAACTATATAAGTCTTCAGAACAAAGCGATCTCTCTCTCTCTCTCTCTCTCTCTCTCTCTCTCTCTCTCTCTCTCTCTCTCTCTCTCTCTCTCTCTGGCTTGGGGTGCTCTTGGCTCTCAGGCCACAAGGCTTCTGGCCAACTGACATCAGGCTGCCCAGGGGCTTGCCACCCTGGTCTTCAGCTGCTCTTGCTTTTGTTGTCTTGCTTTGCCCTGAAACTTTGCCTTTCATCCCCTACTCTATCCAGTCCTGTTCTCTTCCATGGGAACAGGCCAATAATAAACTGGTTACATACTACTAGATTTGTAATTCTTTACATGCGTCAGCAAGAAGAACCAGGTCTCTCCCATTAAC